CCCCAAAACCCCAAAACCCCAAAACCCCAAAACCCCGGGATGTGTGTTTGTGGTTGATGATAAAATATAGATTGGGGAGAAGGAATATTGGGGATTTTAGTTGAATATGTTATTTTTCTCTTGAGGCACTTTAAAACTTTCCTGGACTATATTAGTCAATATTATAAAGTTTCAGGCAAATTAAGCTTTCATTTGGTTCAAAATATGTTACCTTTGTGTCTCTCTTTGACCTCCTTCCAAATCTGCATCACTACTACTATCGCTCTAAAATTGACTCCATACTCCTACATCTTCGACTACATGCCTTCCAGCTTCTTGTAATATAAACTCTGTCACATTGCTCTCTGTCTCTGAATCTTCAATTTCCTAAAAGTCTAACTATCAGAGCTCTCTTAATTCATCAGAATCAAAACTTGCCAAATTCTTATTAAATAAGCTTTATTTAACTCTTGCTTACCTTCTTTTCTTCTATCTGGAGCTTTCTCGCTTTCTTTGGCACTCTTGGAGCACGAGGTATAGCCTTAAGAGCTTTACACTCTTTCTTAATGTTTTTATATTTCTCTGTAAGGTTAAGGATAAAGTACTCAGAAGATCTTCATTCTCTTTTTGAAGATCAGCATTTTCATATTGCAGGCTTTCGATGGTTCTTTCTTTCCTAGAAATTTTCTTTCTATTCTTCTCAACTTTTCTGTTAGTCTCTTTAAGAATTTCATTTAGGTCTTCTATTTGAGGTTTTAGTTCTCTGATTTCTGCTTTATAAGCATCTATAATTAAGGAGAACTTAGCTTACTCGCTTCTCTTTTTAAATCCAGGATTTGATCCGCATGCTTTTGTTGTTTTCTAACAAATATAGACTTTGCTTTATCAATATCTTTGTCCTTCTGCTCTATTTCTGCTTTAAACTTTCCTATACACATTGTCTTCAGCATTTAAGTTCATAGAAATAATTATGTATCTAAAGATTTCTTCAACAATTCTTCTCTTTTGACAAACTTGGAAAACTTCATAAAAATGGGAGAACTTATTTACTTCTAAACTTCATTTTCGCTCATATTTATGAATATTTAATAAAGTTTTGGATAGGAGTTGTACATTATAAATAATGCACGCTGACTTTTAGCACTTTTAAGTCTTAAATCTCAAAATTTAGAAACTATGTGAATTTGTATTCTCACCTATAATTTCTTCCTCCTGAGTTGTATAAAACTTTTGGTCGGAATCTGCAACTGGAAACCTATAAATGGGTATCATCGTTGCTCACTCAAGGTCTTCTTTGTCCTGTAATTAAGACGAAAGAGCTTACAATGACATCTGCAAAATAGTGTTCATCTCTAAAGTGGAAATAGCCTAAGTTTAGAATGATTATTTACATATTGTGATTCTTTTGTCTTCCATCTTTCTTCTATGGACTTTGATGTAGTCCTTCACAGTCTATTATAAGAATCAAAAATTACCTTGACCACAATGGTTGAATATAAGTCAGGTGGGAATTTAGACTCTTCTGAACAGAACGAGGGGATTATTATGGATCCTAGATGTTATTCGTAATAACCAGAAATTGAAAGCTGACAAGTTGAATATTGAGTTAAATAACACTGAAACTTATTTCTGAGAAAACATAAAGTGGTCATATTGAAATTAGTGCATATAATGATCTAAATATATGTAAGAATAATCATTTTCATTCGAAGTTATGACACCCCATACAAGAGGCCCTCAATTTTGCTCGATATGTGATTTATTCATTTGGCTGACCCAACTCGTAAAGCATTTAACTTACTTAATTGGTGTATTATTGATAAATCAAGCACTCTCTCAATAGTTTTTCTTAAAAAATATACAGATCTAGTCTGACCAGCTTCTTCTTCATGATTAGGACAATAAGAAGCAATGACTTTATCGAACATCAAGTTACCAGATGGAAGCATAACTGCATCTCCCATTTTCAAGTTGGCGTGCTGCTGTATATAAACTTTGCAAGCTTTGATCAGCTCTTCACCCCCACTCGCTATCGCAGTACTGAACTCTTTCGGCAAATGGTTTAAGCTTAATCTTTCATTTACAGGAAGTATTAGCGCACTTGCACTCTCATCTGCAATTTCATTAACTTCCTTAATCACTATCTTTGCTCCAAAATAGTCAACCTCCTTAAAGCTATGCTCTTTTTGTTGCTTTTCCCTGGCCTCAAGGTCTTTATGATGCTCTTTTAGACCTTCTCAGTCTGAACAGAGATGAAAAATACCCTTGATGGACTTACCTTGAGTGTGGCCTTGTCTGATATGATGAAGAATTAGCAGTTTGGCATTTGCCTCGCAAAAAGTTTTGTAGTTGGCTCTTCAGGCATTCCAGTATTCGCTCCTGATGTGATCGTTGAAGGAAGACACTTCAGTCTGAAGTATGGAGGTCTGTTCCGCAAGTTTTTTGTGGGTTTGAATCAAAGAGTTTATTTCTAAAGATTTTGATTGGGTTTCATTGGTTAATTTGGAAGTGATGCTGTCTTGTGCGAGGGCTATGTTATGAGATTTGGTGCTAAGATCAGAACTAATGGTGCTTAGAATTTGAGTTGCTTCTTTTAAGATGTCTGTAGATCAGTTGAGTAATTATACCATTTTTTCTTTGCATTTGAACGTTAATATTAGCTTTTAGAGACTGGATTATAGAACAGTTTGTATTGTTGGCTTTATTGGTCAGTTGGTGATATGTGGTGGTTTTGGAGTTGTGGTCATGTGCTAAGGTTTCTTTGGTTAAGAGAATGATATTACTAGTATCTTTGAGGAATTTTGAGATTGATTTTTGGTTATTTTTCTTGAAATTTGTAGATTTTTCGATGTATTGGATGAAATCTGCTGATATTTTGTCTCATTCAGTTTCTTTTTGTTCAAATTTTAGACTTAGTTCTTTATATTCTTCCTTAAGGTGAGCCGATTTCTTATAGAGATCATCATATTCTTTATGAAGACTCATATAAGACGATTTATCTTTTTCTAAATACTCTGTGAGCTTGAATATCAGAGAATAAATTAGTTTGCTCTGTATGACCCTGATGCTTACCTATATTTGATAAATCTTACAGATTTATGATTTTAAAAAAATAAGTTGTGAAAAAATATACGTTGCTGTTTAAAATTTATTTAAATGGTATAGTAGAATCAAACTCTTCTATTAATAGTTTCTTTAAAGTTTTAAGCATAGTGCCCTAATAAGTCCTCCTTGCTCGAGCTAATTATATTTTACAATTATAAAATTTAATGAACACTTGTTAAAATATCCGTACATCTAATTTTTATTTTATTAATAAGCCGAGTTCCTGAAATTTGAAAGCCTCAATAAATATTTTAGAATAAGTTAATCTTGAGCTTTAATTCATTATTAAAAGCACTAGAATTATAGCTAAGAAAGTTGAATATTTCGGTTCTTACCTTTGGTGTTTTTTAATGTTGTAATTTTCTTTACAAAAGTGACCATTTGCTTTTGTATCGCATCTAAGTGTTGTTTTGAATACATTTCACTCTGGAATACTTCCTATTTATAATACTTGATTACTATTTTCTAGAGCCATCTCCATGTTTTGGTCTAAATCGATAATATATTGTCCATTACTATCAGAGATAATTTCCTTTGTTCTATCTTGGAATCATGCTTCAATTCTTTTGATAATATTTTCAACTTGTTCTAGCTGAAACTCTGAAATGGAAGAAGTTTCCTCAATAGCAACAAGAATGTCTTTTAATCCCTCTTCTGGAATTTTGAGCGAAGAAAGGAGTAATTCCAAGGTTTTAATTTTTTGAACCAAATCATTGTATATATCTCGCTCTTTTTTTCACGTATATTGATAGTCTGAAGTAAATCATCATTAAATTACTTTCTTCAAGTCATTGCAGCCTTCCTTCTCTTCATCTTCTGCCACCTCCAAATCCCGGCCTTTAAACTGATTAAATTTACAGATATTTACAAAAATTGAGTTTCAATGCTTTTGATTAAAAATATTCTGCTGAATTATCAGAATTCTAATACAGATTTTATTAAACCTACCAAAAAGAGTTCTTATGATGCATCCTCTTATTTTTCATCCTTTCCTATAATATTTCAAAAATAGACAAAGTTAGGGTGATGATCAGCTTAACCTAAAGGATCTTTCCTGGAGAAATAAAACTAATTTAAAATTGAGAAGAATTCAGAATAAAAGTGCAGAAGTATCACATTTTATACAAAATTGAATTTTAATAATGAGCCATTAAGCAGTAGCCTCATTAGATAACTGCGAACAATATTTCAGGGAAGTTTCTATTTTACTTTTGGAGGCAGTAGCGGTTAATAAATGCGCCTCCAAAAGCTATTTCTTGTGATTTATTCATGTGAATTGGTATGGGGAAAATATAACGACTTACCATCCTTCTCTCCATTTCCTGCACTTGGTCATGAAACTTTTCATATTTTGATATTGTAGGTAAGATCTCGCCTATAGTATTTAATATAAGGCTTCAGTATTAAATCCTGTCACTTTAAACAACTATTGACTCCTCAAAGGAAATATGCTTGTAAAATTAGAAAATATATTAACACAAATGATAAATATTTATCTTATTTTTTAATATGAAAGCTTTGATAAAATCAAGCAGAAATTAATTTTTTGAATTCGATGAAGAACTTTGAAACAGAAGAAAAGTGTTTTCACCGTAAAATTGTTTTATATTCCCTTACTTATACATTGTATTATTTTGATAAATTCCGATCAAGGTATTGACTTTGGGAGTTCCAATGTGATCATATTCTTGCTTTCTTTTTTGGACTCTTCTTTAGGCATCAGATAAGGCTTCTCAAAGTTTATTGAATCTCTATCCTTCACAAATTGTGATATCAATTCTAAAATGTTTGTCAACTCAATAACTTAACATATTCAAAACTTGTTTTAAAAATAGTTGTTGTGCAAACAAATTTCAAATTTATTTACCTGAAAAATTCTTTCAAAGATCCTGCAAATCCTCTATTTCTTCATTGTCTAAAGTTATTGTACAAGAATTACTGAACTGGAGTTTGGCATTGCTTTTCATGGCTTCTAAAGTATTGGGTTAAGAAGAAACTCATTGAAAAGTATAAAGAATGGTTCTTTATTCTTCTGGGCTTATAGAACTTATTAAAAACATGAAAACTTGAATTATTAGAGAAAGTGTCTAATTTTAACTCTGAAATCCTCCTTACCTTCTGAGTTAGATATGGGGAAAGAGCTAAATCCCTCGCTTGATGATGCAAGATCCTGCTTAGATTCCTCCTTTGGTTGGTAATCATCAAGACTGAAATATTCTGGATCTCTGGTCAATTCAAAATCATTCTTTATGGATGAAAGATTGTTCTTATTTTCTATACTTTATAATTAGTCTAGAATTCTGAGAGTTGATATTGGAAAATTTCACCTATCACTATTTATGTTAATGCAGTTAAATTAATTCTAGTCAAACAAAGGATTGATGATAGATCAACCATCTCTATTGAGGGTCTTATTATGAACTAATTATTCAAGCTCAAGCCATAGAATTGTATTCAGAAAATATCCTAGATAAAAAGTATTATTTGAAAAGAACCAACAAATTATACAGAGAATTGATTAATCCCTCATGTGGTTATATGCTGAGGCATTTTGTGTATGGATTGTATAGCTCTATCCTCTATATCAATATTGGGAATAGCTAGATAACGCATAGTTGTGAGAGCATTTTAAGAAGCATAAAAATTCTGAGAACGAACTGAGATGACAATAATTTTGAATTTGAGATTACTATTTCCAATGATACTCTTCAGACTGGTCAATATCTGATTGTTCTCCTGATCATTTATATGATCTAGGACTGGAAAGTCTGGGATTTCTAGATGTTTAGGAGCTCTAATTGTTTTCTTAGCTGAAACTGATAGCAATCTTTGAGTTTTTAAATAATCTGTATTTGATAGACTCTTTGCTAAAATATATTAGTAAAATCCTAATTTTAGACTTACTAAGCTTTGCCTCTCAGTGGTTAATACAACCTGCCACATGGTTCAATTTCTCTTTTGCAACATTTGAAGCTTTTTTATATTCTTCAATTGTTTCTTTGTTCATGTCTGCACAGTCATTAGCATAACATAAATATGCTTTGAATATTTTCCAAGTTCCATTCAAAGATTTTAATAAACTCAAAATTAAAGTTACCAATCAAACCATTGGCAATGGAGCCAAGCTCTACTACATTTCAGGAAGATTGAATCTGGTGCTTCAATTGTTCTATTAAGCATTAGAGCTACAGGATACCTTCTCTGGCTTCAAGCTCATCAACCTTCTTTATGTCTTCTTCATTGTAAATATTTTGGTCAAGATTTTGTAAGATCTTTGCTTGCATTTTAACAATTCAGCTGGTCTCTTCTATTTCTTTCTTCAATATTTTCTCATTGGCTTCAATCTTCTGTTTAGCTTCTTGGAGACCTTCTTGCCTCTGGTCTAAGTCTTGTGGCAGCTGGTCAAAGCTGACCTGGATTAATTCTCCTTTTATAGAAGCTATATCTGCTTACACTCTTTAAGGGCTTCGTTCTTCTCTTTTGAGTCAAGATCGGGAAAGGTAGCTAACTTTTTATCGCTAAAATCCTCGATCTTTTCAAATTGAGGGTAAGATTCGGGAGGGAATTTGGGAGAATCATGTATAGTACACTTATTATCTTCTTTAGCATCGTGATTTATAACTAAATCTGCAAACTTTGGTATCTGATGCTGATAGGACTTGGGTTCAATCTTATTACTAAGTTTTTGGTCCATTATAACCGATTAATTTAATAATAATATTGAAAATAAAAGGGGTTTTGGGGTTTTGGGGTTTTGGGG